AAAACATTATAAACATAAAGGGCTTGGTCTTATTGGAAGACAGACACAGGGCTCTCCCCTTCCTCTTAATGGATGGTAGCCCTTATATCAAATAGTCAAGAGGTGTATGTTGCCACCAGCAGAACTGTCTCTCTCAAGGTTTCCTGGCATTTGGATTGGTATTGAAGTTTTAAAAACAATCAAGATGGAGGCAAGCCATCAAATATATGTAGGAAACCCTGAGTAGAAAGTTAAATAATTCTTCACTGTAGACTATTCTGAGTGCCATTCTGTGCTTGGATTCCACACAAGTCCTCTCTGGGCTTGAACCTTGAAAAGCCAGGGTGTCTCAGAGGTCACAGTTCTGGCTGCTTTGAGCACAGCCTTTCTTGTCTTTGGCGCAGAACAACAGGATGCAAGGTTCTGGAGAAGCCTGCTGTCCCACTAGGATTTTCCCTGACACTCTCTCCCTGCCTCCCTGGCTGTGACACTTCTCTGCACATCCAGATAGAAGAGGCTGGAGGGGAGAGATTGGGGCAGTAAAGGCAGAGGAAGCAATGCTGAGGGTGTGACCCAGATGGAGCTAAAATGAGCCTTACCTTAGCGTTGGCTGCTTGAGCCCTCTGAGCAATGTCAGCAGTGCTTATTCTTGTGTGACTACACGTGCCTGGGTGTGGAAGGTGTCTGTGTAAAGCATAGGACGGAAGCTGACCCTGAGGTGGCCATGCTGCACTCTCTGCTCTGTTTATGCGGGCACTTAATAATCACGTGGGAATTAGCCGCCCCCCTTGTGCCAGGTGGGCAAGCACAAATAAGCAGGGCACCCACCCTTGAGGTCTTAAATAAGGTTTAGTGGGCAAGTCTCATAAGCTTGGCAAACGGGTACAGGTGCGGGGGTTAGAAATACAAGCCTGACCTATGTCTGCAACACTGAGTCACATTATACAGGACCGTTCTGTGCATAATAAAATGTTGGAACTCCTCCACTGCAAAGCTCTCAGGTTCCAGATTAAAGTGCTACATAGTTACAAAGCACAAGACTTCTGGTGAAGCCAAAGAACAACCGCTCTTAAAATTAAAAAAAGAAAAAGTACTTTTCATTTTAAAATTATTTCAGACTTAACAAAAAATGTTACAAACAGTACAACTATCTCTACATATTCCTCACCCAGATTTTCCAAATGAAAACCACTCACAGAACTGCAGTACAATGGTTGGAATCAGGAAACTAACAAGAATACAATACTATGACCTACAGATTTTCCTCAGATTTCACTGATGGGCCAACCAGCATCCTCTTCCTGCGAGGAGTCCACCCAGGACCCCTGTCAGGGTGCCTTTGCCTCCTAACTTCAAACAGCTCTACCTTTTGCCACTTGACACCTTTTAAGAGAAATGTTCAAGTTTGTTTTTCGTGATGACTTCCCACACCGTGGATCTGTCTGATGTATTTGTAGCAAGAACAACTCAGAGGGGAGGTTGCACCCTTCTCGGAGCAGCATGCTGTGTAAGATAACTCATTCCCAGTGCAGGCAGCGCTGGACCCACCACAGGTGTCCTTGGGATCTGTCCGAGTGCTGGGATAAGAGGCCTGGGTTTAGTGGGGTATATTTGTGTGGCTTAAGACACAGTATATGCAAGAATAATCACACAATGCACATGTTCTCCTTCAGTGGGAAGTGTGGGACACAAACGCTCGGAATGCCTGTATGTGCAGTCCAACATCAGCATGCCTGATGCATCTTGTTATTAAGTCTGATGGGTCATGGCAAAGAAGAGACAAAACCCTTACCCTCACCGATTCAGCACACCCGCTCAGCACACAAGTGCTTAGAGCCAACCCCTTGCACGCTACCAGCCATAAGTCCTGGCACTGGCACATGGACCACTTGATATGGTTACACAACTCCACACCACAGCAGCTACTTAAAGCTGCATTTGAATGCTCCTGTGTATGATTTTATTATGTCAAAATTCAAGACAGAGCGTGGTGCCTGTGGCTCAGTGGCTAGGGCGCCAGCCACATACACAGGAGCTCGCAGGTTTGAATCCAGCCCCGGCTTGCCAAACAATGACAGCTACAACCAAAAAATAACCGGGCGTTGTGGCAGGCACCTGTAGTCCCAGCTACTCAGGAGGCTGAGGCAAGAGAATCACTTAAGCCCAAGAGTTTGAGGTTGCTGTGAGCTGTGACGCTGTGATACTCTACCCAGCATGACAGCTTTAGATTCTGTCTCAAAACAACTAAAATGTATGTCTGCTTTGTAGACTCTGTCAAAATATTCACTCTTCAACCTAATTTTGAATTATTTTTATTAGAAAGTGTCTTTCCACACCTCCAAAGGCCTAACCTTTAGATCTCCCTAATGGAACCATTTCTAATCCCACCAATCAAAAGAGAGCAACTGTCTCTCTCAGGTGCTTGGGATATCTGTTCTGACTGTAGGGAGGTGCTTGCTCCAAGTTCTGGGTAGATGATGAGAACCTATTCACGGCTCAGCACTGCTCTCAACCAGGCCTGGGCCCTAAGCTTATCAACATACATCAACTCACAAGAGGTTAGTTAGGACCCACAGAGGCTAGGCCACTTGTACACCACCACAAAACTCACAAGTGACAGAGGTGGCTTTGCTCCAGGCAGCTCGGCTCTGTGTCCTGGTGCCACAGAGCTTGGCTGTGTCCTGTGCCACTTTGGTGCCACACCACATTAGCACACAGTGGTGCAGATAATGGAAGCCATGAATGACCCCAATCCTTCACACACCCCCTACATCCACATCGTGCCAGGTGACTTTATAGTTTCTTCCACTAAAGAGGGGGATACCAGAATGCTGGATCTGGCTACGTCATCTGCTTTGCCAATGGAAGGCTGGTAGATAACACAGGACCAGACAGGGCTCATTCTTGTGTGTACCTGCTGTGGACACACCTAGACCAGACTGCTGGTCCCAAGAGAAAGAAGAGGGGCACAGGGCACAGAGGCCAGCCTGGCCCAGCCACTGACGGACAAGTCCACAGGCCATGTACTTCATCACACTGACAGCTGCTGAGATTTTATAGCTGTTCGTTCTGTGGCACTGCTAGGGAATGCTAACTGATAAGACCTGTGCACGTGACCTTTTTCTGACCTCAAACTCACTGGCCTTACTTAGACTGGCACAGATAAGTTATACACAATCAATGCCACAGTTCATTCAAATGGGTGAAGATCAGAATCTGACATATGGTGAGGATATTGACGCTTTCTTAAAAAAGGTATGACACAGGTAAATCAAAGACATGCTCCATTCACTTGGAGAGACACAATTTATTTTGTTAAAGTCAAGCAGGATGATGTGGTGATAGGTAAATAGTATCAGGCATGCACCTGTCCACATTTGCCATGGTGGACTGACGGATGCAGGCAGCCGGCCACAGGCCATACCCCACTCGCTGGGGTATTGTACAGCTGCGCCACAATGGAGGGCACGGGACAGCCACCACCTAAGGATGCCAAGAGCTGCCCATTAGCACCAGATTGTTCTCAGATGCAGCTATATACAGAGTTATGTACACTGACTCTCTAGAATCTTTGGGTCCCTGCAAACAGACATGTAAAAGGCAAATGGGAAACAGACGAGACAGCTGTCACTTTCTGTGCTTTGCTAAGAGGGGAGGAGAGCACTGTATATTGCTATGTATAAGAGACAGTCCTAAAAACATGTCAGAAGACTGGGCACAAACACATAGATTTGATTGTTCACAGTTTACACAGGTATCATCAAGACGACCACAACACTGTACTTGAGGAGGGGGAATGACAGCGACAAGCTTTGTCAAACAAAATACTCTGCTATGACTTGGGCTGTCTCCCGAGGGAAAGAGACAGAGGCTGGTGGGCAGTCAGCTTCCCCCTTCACGACAGCCCACATTCACAGCAAGTGACTGCCAGGCAGGGGAAGAGGAGGACGCTTCATCGGCAGAGAGGGATATTTTGGGTTAGCGCCAACTGAATTTAACAAGAATAAACACTGCTGAAAAGACATGGATCCTTTTGGCATTGGTAGGCTGCCAAAAAGGCGGGTTATTGCCTGTATGACTGGAGCCCGCCAGGTTGAGTGCGGCTGTTGCGAAGCGCTTAACACCAGCAGGGCGCCTCTGGCTCAGCAAGACTGGACGCCAGTCCTTTAAGACACCTGTGTGTGTGGCTGTGTGTGTCTGCGCGCTTTGGTAAGGCTGTGGGCACTGCTGACAAAGGGAGGTTTCCCCACCTGCTGGAAAACTTTTTATGGGAAAGTGGGGAAATGAGGGTTAAAATGAGCCCCTGATAGAACAGACGCCCTACCATCACCTCCACGTGAAGGCATTAGAGAGATTTGCTCACCATTGACCATGCATTTAATTACATGAATAGTTTTTGAATACAACAAATCTGTAATTATGAGATAAAAACAAGTTACGACCAAGCCATCAGCGGATGAACACCTCTTCCTGTGCTTATCTGTCATCTGTATATCTTCTTTGGTGGGGTGTCTATTCCAGTCTTCAGCCCGCTTTTTAACTGGGCCGTTTCTTTTCTTACTATTGTATTTTGAGAGTATTTTTGTATGTCCTGAATACAAATCCTTTGTCAGATACATGATGTGCAAATATCTTCTCCTTGTCTGTGACTTCTCAAATGGAAACTGATGGCAAGAGAGTGCTTTTTTTTTTTTTTAAACGAGTAAGGGTCTTTTTAGAATCTTGCCATTTCAATCAATAAAAAGGGCACAACAGGCTCTTTCTTTAACTTGTGTGGCAGAAAAAGAGCAACTTTAGGAGAAGTATAGTCCACAAGACCTCTGAAAAACTAGAGGAAGGGATCTTACAGTGCACAGAATGTGGCCCTCTTGGTAATAGACTAAAGGAGGCTAAAAGAGAAAAGTAGCCAATTGGGGCGGCGCCAGTGGCTCAAAGGAATAGAGCGCTGGCCCCATATGCCAGAGGTGGGGGGTTCAAACCCAGCCCTGGCCAAAAACTACCAAAAAAAAAAAAAAAAAAAAGAAAAGTAGCTAATTACCATTCACAACAATGCTCACACTAAAAAATACTCCGATTTTTAAGCTTTGAGGGAAGAAGCTTAAAAATCCTCTGTTGGTCTCGGGGAACAGGTAACAAGCACATTATCACTGGACATAACTTTTAACTACACAATTTACTTCACAGGAAAACAACATTTAGACTGGGATGCTGAGTGAGAATTCTGGACTAAAGCTACTTGTTGGCTTTGTGAGTGTTTCAAAGCATGCGCATTATTATTTCTTGACATCATGGTTTTAATCTCAGTATGAGGGAACCCAAGATGCAGGCTGCTCATTTCACAGTCGGTTTGTAACCACTACAGAACTATTTACCTTTCCAAAATGTTAATAAGTTATCCACACTGTTTTTGCTGGGTCAGAGAACGTGATCACACAACAGACAAGGAACGCTCACACTGTTAATAAGCAGGGACAACACGGCAGTCCATGCCCTGAGGGATCGCAGGAGAACACATGCCAGGGTGTCCCCTCTCATGCAGCTAATGATGTGCTGGCCACTTCCCAGATGGCTGGTTGGGCATCTGAAGACGGGAGGAGCAGAAGATTTGCCACGGAAAAGGAGCACTTACATGCACCAGAGCCAGCATGGGGAAATTCACCATTTGGCAGGGCCTAGTGCCAGGTGTAGTTATGCTTAAAGAAAAACAGCTAACAGTGAGCCTCTCTGCTCAGCGTTCAAAGGGAAACTAAAAAATTAAATAAATCATCCCAAACAGAGATAGAGTTATTGCTTTTCTACTAGCCCCTCTGCTTCAGGAGGAGGCCCTCTCTGGGATATAAATACAGGCTGGCATTTTTTCCACCAGTATCCTTGGGACGGTGCTCGGAGGCCTCATGTTTTGCCTCTGCTGGGGCCGGAGCTCTTATTTGCTTCTGTCAGGCTGAAGGCTGTCAAACAAGCACTTCAGCTGCTCTTCGCCGAGGTGGATTTTGTCTTCCAGCTCCCGCTGCTCGATGATGAGAGCTGACTTCATCTTCACAAAGTGCTCATAGTCGGCAAGGCTGTCCTCGCTGAGATAGTTGGCCAGGATGTCAAAGACCACACGCTCCCTGCGGTCCAGGTTCTCCTTGAGCTCCTTGGCATCCTCGTGCTGCTGGATGAGGACTCTCTGCTTCTCGAGCAAGGATTGCTGTTGAGAGAGAGACAAGCCCACTGAGCACTGTACGACAATAGGGGCTTTGGCCAAATCTTGAAAATGCCAGCACCTTTGGGGGCTGGTCCATGGCTGCCCATCAAATTGCCAACAGAAACGCTGATGCTGCCAGAGACCAAATGGGATCTACATAGGGACACAGGTGGCAAGAGCCTTGTGGCTATGACAGGCTCCAGGCCTGCCCTCCCAAAACGCACGCACAGGCCTCTCTGGGATTCCTTCCACTGTCTGGACCTCCATCTCCTCCCACGTACCTGGATGCTAACAGAAACAGTGGCAAGCAGGAGTGTCACCAAGTGACCAAAGTGAGACACTCAAAAAGGCCAGACTCAGGGACACCTTCTTGGGTCAACGCCCTTCCCATGACAACTCTGTGGGAAAACCGGCAAAGGAGAGCACTCTAAACAAATTCCAAGGCAGGATTCTTCAACCCTCAGGGAAGGAGGAGGCTGTAGGTGCAGCTGCAGGATGTGCAAGGCAGGACTGCAGACGGACAGTGGGCATCAGTTCCTTTGCTCCTCATAAAGATCCTGCTCTGGGGAACACACACAACCCCTTCCACAAACACTACCCTCACAGTCACTCTTGCTGTTCAAAGAACATGTACCTAGCTTCCCTACAGATTCCAGCTTTTTTTTTTTTTTTTTTGAGACAGAGCCTCAAGCTATCCCCCTGGGTAAAGTGCCATGGCATCACGCTCACAGCAACCTCCAACTCCTGGGCTCAAGCGAGTCTCTTGCCTCAGCCTCCCAAGTAGCTGGGACTACAGGTGCCCGCCACAACGCCTGGCCACTTTTTGGTTGCAGCCATCATTGTTGTTTGGCAGGCTCGGGCTGGGGATTTGAACCCGCCACCTTAGGTGTATGTGGCTGGCGCCTTAGCCACTTGAGCCACAGGCACCGAGCCCAGATTCCAGCTTTAATGCGAACTAGAGGAGAAAGAGAAGCATTAGGCTGGAGAATACAGGTGTGAATCCCTGACTGTCTTCCGAGCATCGGGACAGCCGCTCTGGAATGCTGCTCAGCATTGGCCACAGCAGAGGCATCTGGGGATGCTGGGGCACGTTGCCAAGTCCCGGACACACAGAGGGGGCTCAGCAGAGAGCCCAGCCGCTCAGCAGGTGCCACTGTTATGAAACAGGACTGCAGATGGAGCCTGCCCTTGGTGTGCTACTTTTGTGCCGTGCCTGTGACCACACTACCTTTGAGAGCGTCCTGGCTGCTTGTGTGGAACCCCTGATTCACAGGTGTGCACGACAGTGTCAAGAGGCAAGGCAAAGTAAAGCAGTCCCAAAGAAAGGAATATACTTTTTACCTGATTCTGGAAATGTGGGTCAGGTTGTCAAAGTCAGCCGGGTTCATGGGAACTTAGAATCGTCAGGCACAGGAGGCCCCACGTTTCCATCAATGTTGTGTCCACTTTTCCGACTCTACATCATTTAACTCATCAGCATGTCTCAGCAAACCTTAGCTTGTTTATGCCTTGGCTGCCAGACAACAAAGATTCTCGTCCAGGCTGCGCTGGACACCCAGGCCACTGCACTGTACCTGGACAAGGTCATGGAGTGTATCCTTCGGGTCAGAAGGTGAAGCTGTATCAACAGGGAAGAGCAGCCCACGGAGGGTGGCCCCAAACCACCCTCAGCCAGCAGAAGGGGAGGATGCTTTTTCTGCTCCCCGGAAAGAAGTTCAGATGTTTTATGAACAGTAAAGGTGATCACCTTGACGGCCTATATGTGCAAAGAAGGAAACTAGATGTTTTACTGATATGTGACCTGATTAGGAATAGAAAGGGGTCACAGGGAAGTAGGAGAAAAGTCTGGACTCTTAGATAAGGAAGTTAAAAAGGGCCCTGGAACAAACAAGGAGTTTCAGGAATGTCCTGAAAGTGGAGAAATGGTCACAGTTACACACACAGCAAAATGTCGCAAACATCACAAGACTAACAGGCACCCCCATAGCACTATCAGAAAAATAGCAGGTAGCAATTACTGCTAAAAAGAAGAGGAAAATGGGCACATGTAGCAACTGAGGTAACCTGCAATCAATGAAAAGTAGACAAGAGTAGCTAAGGACCTCAGGGGACCGATGAACAGCTTTCTAAATAATTGTAGGAAGACCTAGGATAAGACACTCACACTGGTGCACTGGCTTTGTGTGCCAGTTCCTCTCACTCGCAGGAGGACCCTTTTACAATCTCTTTGGAAAAATCTATGCTTATTCATGCTTTACTTTAAATAAACTGTCCTCTTTTTCTTTACTTTAAATAGATGGCACTTTTTTCTGCTGCACTGGAGTCCTGGCTGCTTTATTCCCACTATCCCCATACCTCACTTTTACTGTGACTTTGCTGAATTTGTTATTTCTGCTCAACAAATCAGACCAGGTCTACACAACAGCTCGAGAGGCTGAGAGACCCCTGACATGACCTAAGAGGTAAAGCTAACAGGGTAGATGTTATTTCCCTTATACGTAAAAAAAACCAAAAGGCCTACTGAGCAATGTCTCAAAAGTCACATACCTTACCAACATGAGAGTCACATACCTTACCAACCCTGTTGTTACATCACAGCAACAACAACAGTAATTAAATATCACCTGTTACCGAGTATTTACAATTCATCTAATTGTCGGGGTGGGTAAGCTCTGGCAGGGCCTTACATGTAGGTAAGAGTTAAAGGGAAAAAAAGGCTATCTTTTAGGAAGAAAACGCTATCAATAATTGTCAGCAGAAACATGTGAAAAGAGGTCCAACAACAGCAACAGCTCCTCCAGAAGATCACAGCCCCGCAACCCCCCACAATGGCTCAGCTCCCTGGGCCTGATTAGCACCATCCCCCTCAACCAGAAGGAAGGAGAGGCAGTGGAGTGTGCCGACATTTGGACAACCTCTTCCACTTGGCAGCAGACAGGCTGTGTGGAAACCATGCCAGGAGCTGACTTCTGAGACAGTCCAGGGACAGCCTTGTCACAGGACCACCCACCTGTTGTGTCCAGATCAGATGCAACTGTCTGCACATACCTGATCGCTAGGAGAAGCGCTGTTGTCCAAATTATTGAGGGCATTTTCTACCCGGGCCAAGCGGCCTGACAGTGACAGCAGGAGGTTGACCACTTTGTCCAGGTCCCCGATGAACATACGGAACTTGTCGAACTCACTGGGTTTGCAGACACCTTTCACGATGGCCTCTACCTCGGCCCCCAGCGCGGTGTTGGCCTGCACGTCCTCCAGCAGGCTCTCCCGGGCTTCCCGGAGCACTTGCAGCTTGCGGCCGATGCTCTCAATGAGCTCCTGCTGTGGGGCACAGGAGAGCATGGGAACATGGACAGCGCTGAGTGGTCTGCCCCCAACCCTCAGCCACAGGGATTCTAGGAGGGATTCGGCCCAACTGGGGTAAGCTTGCTTTTGCATCAAATAATAGGACATTCACAGGACCTGGGGAAGGATGACTTCTGGCTAAATTGTTGACATTTAAAAATAAGAAAAAAAAATTAGAATAGTTTTTTTTCTTTTTTGAGACAGTGTCTCACGTTGTCACCCTTGGTGGAGTGCTGTGGCATCACAGCTCGCAGCAACCTCAAACTTGTGATTCTCTTGCCTCCCAAATTGCTGCTACTACAGGCACCCACCACAATGCCTAGCTATTTTAGAGATGGGGTCATCTCCTGGTCAGGCTGGTCTCCAGCTCCTGAGCTCAGGCAATCTACACACCTTAGCTTCCCACAGTACAAGGATTACAGGCATGAGCCACCCCACTGGGCCTCTATTCTCCTTTTGCTAACATCCTATTAGACAACACAGAATTGGGGTCACTGATGCCATGCAAACCTCTATCTTTGGAAGGATTCTCAGGACAATATGATGCCCTGTTCTTTTACCCTTTGGAAGTTACCAGTTTGAAGACTTACACAGAGAGAGATTACTGAGTCTTAAGTCTAGTACTGAATTCCACAATTAGAAAGTGTTCTCCACATATAAACAGCAATTAAAAACTAAGCAAATAAACAGATCCCAGTGAACATGAAAGACACTCTTTTATATTACCTACCAAGTTCAGCGTCACTAAAATATAAATGACTTTTTTTGTACTATAGCAAAATATACATAAAATTTACCATCTTAACTGTTTTTTGGCATAGCTCTGTAACATGATGGGCATTCTCACTATGTAACCATCACCACCGTCCATTTCCAGAACTTTTATCTTCCCCATTGACATTGTATAACCATCCAACAGTAAGTCTCCACTACTCCTCCCATCAGCCCTTTAAAAGATTATTATTATTATTATTTTGTTGTTGTTGAGATAGGATCTCACTCTGTTGCCCAGGCAAGAGGGCAGTGGCAACATCATAGCTCAGTGCAGCCTCAAATTCCTGGGCTTGTGCTATCCTCCTGCCTTGGCCTTCAGGATTACCACACCATGCCTGGCTAAGTTTTTAATCTTTTACAGAGATGGGAGTCTCATTTTGTTGCCCAGGCAGGTGTTGAAGTCCTGGCCTCAAGCTATCCTCCCACCTCAGCCTCCCAATTTGCTGGAATGACAGCCATGAGACACCAAAGCTGACCAGAAAGATGAATTTTTATTTATTTATTTATTGCAATTTTTGGCTGGGGCTGGGTTTGAACCTGCCACCTCTGGTATATGGGGCCGGTGCCCTACTCCTTTGAGCCACAAGTGCCACCCAAAGATGAATTTTCAAAAAGCAAAATCAAATGTAAAAAGCATGAACGCATTAAATCCCCCACTGTTACCCAGTGAAAGCGCCTATGCTACTGTGCTAGGCACCATGTCTAGGTTAGCAGCCTGCTTTACATGGCACCATGGCTACGCCAAGCAGGCTAAGCTACGCTTAGCTAGGCATGCTCCCACACTACTCTAGGCACAGTGCTAACCTAGATACGCTTGGCCTACTACTAAGCTAAGCATGCTACCTCTCTACGCTAGGGATGTTAAGGCACGCTGTTGTGCCAGGCACATAAGGCTGCTGCTACACTAGACACAACTACATTAGGCATGCAAGGTATGCTGCTACGCCAGGCACAGAGGTACGCTAGGGACGTCTTTTAGGCAGGCAGGTACATTAGGGATGCGCCGCTTAGGCACTAAGCTCCACTAGGCACCCGTTGTTTAGGTACGCGCTGCTTAAGCACAACGGCTACGCTAGGCACGCGGCTTGGACACGCAGGTAGGCTAGGCATGCGTTGTTTAGGTACCCGCTGCTTAAGCACAACGGCTAGGCTAGGCATGCGCCGCTTAGGAACTGTAGGCGTGTAGTGGCTCTGCTAGGCACGCGGCTTAGACACGCAGGTATGCTAGGCATGCGCTGCTTAGGCACTAAGCTCTACTAGGCACCCGTTGTTTAGGTACCCGCTGCTTAAGCACAACGGCTACGCTAGGCACGCGCTGCTTAGGCACTGTAGGCGCGTAGTGGTTCTGCGAGGCAAGCGGCTTAGACACGCAGGTATGCTAGGCATACGCTGCTTAGGCACCCAAGGCACCCTGCTACCTTAGATACGCAGCTACAGCTACGCTAAGTGCGCAGGTGCCTCTTAAGGTTGCAGCAACGCTAGGCGCACACTACTTAGGCACACAGGTACACTATGCATGCCTCTTAGGCGCACAGCTATGCTAAGGCAGCTTAGGGACCTGCTGCATGCCTTTATGCTTAGGCACGCCATTACGCTTAGGCATGATTTGCTACGCTACGCTAGCTATGCTATACGCAATGCTCCCTTTGCTAGGCTACGCTAGGTTCCCTATGCTAGGCTAGCTACCAGAGGTCTCTGTCTCACATTGGTGCTCCCAAAGAGAATCTCCACCCAGTGTTGACGTCCCTCAAGTAAGCCCACAGTGTGGAGTGTGACCGCTTAGCAGAAGATTCTTCCTTTTGGGCCAACCTGCCCCAGGTTCACCTCCAGGCCTCCTTCCTGCAGTCCACGGGACAGCCATCCTCACCACCCTCACTGCCGACTGACTGGCATGGATTTCTCCTGAGAAATCCACAGGGAATTTATAAACTGCTATGGCTTTCTCTGGTCAGGCTCCAGTTGTTCAGGGTGTCAAGACATATTACTATTTTAAAAATGTATGTGCCTAGGTCTTTTGTTATCCCTTAGTGCGTGTACACTGTGTGTCCATTTACCCACCTGAGATAGTGTGCTGTGTACACTTGAGTTTTCATCAAGGGTTCCTGGCTTATAACCCCCACAGCCCTTGTTATAATGTTGGGGTGCTTGAGGCCTCAAAAAACACACTCTCTTTCTGACTGTATCCTGGCCTCCTCTCACCTATCCTAGGCAGGATTCTGATCTTTCCCTTTCTGATTATTAGTAAAAAGACTCTTATTTCAGAGAGGGTCCTGCCCTATGTCTGGGAGGAAGGGTACTGCTCAGAGAGACCAAGAAGAATCTAAACAGACAGGCCTAGCTAGGTTTGCATGCTTGGCCTAACTGCATTAGATTTCACCCTTCTGTTCAATCATATTCCTAGGTACATGGTACACTGACATGTGGTCAATCACACCTGTCTCGGGAAGTCTCCATAAAGGGTCCAAGAGGTCGGGGCTCAGGGAGCGTCCAGAGAGCTGAAGGTGGTATCCCAGGGAGGTCACGTTAGCTCCGTATCCCTTTCCCTGTTTTTGTTTTGAGGGTCACTGCAGGAAGCTCAGATACTGGCTGTTACAGATTTTGAGAGGAGGCCTGATCCCAGCAGCACCAGGAGTGCTGAGGTATGGACCCTATAGGCTGCTTTGCCCGCCACCCAGCAAGCCTAGCTGCTATCTCCTGTGGCACGTGGCCTTCCAGGAGGATCAGGCAGAAGATGGTGGGAGTGGACACCAGGCGCACAACTGCTTCTCACCACTCCATTTGGGTGGGCTGAGGCTGGGGAGGGGGTGGCTGGAATTGAGACCTGGGCCGTTTCCTTCCTCCACCTGGTACTTCCCCAGGTGCCCAGCTTTGCTCCACTTTGGGGAAAACAAGGACTTTTCTCCCTTTGCACCTACTTCTTTGTTCTAGGGGAAAAAATATAACCCTTAGTGATTCCAAACTTTGCTTCTAAAGAAACCTCACAACTCAATCTGGGTAGTGTCTTTTCTGAGCAGAGTCTGCCAGAGCTGCCCTCCTAGAGTGTGGCTTCTGGAAAGAAGGGAGAAGAGTGTGGTGGTAGCCTGTTGGTCACATGAAACAGAGAAACAGGACCACTGAGTCCCCACCCCATGGAAAACCGTGATTTATAGGATCTGCAGCTCAGGCTGCATCTGCTCAAGTCACGCTCCCTGGACTGGAGGTGTAAGCCCGCCTCTAGCTCAGTGACTCATTCAATTCCAGAGCTGTCACTGCAGCAAGGTGGCATCCCCGGACCTTGAGTCCCCTGAAGCAGAAGCACTGAGTGCACATGAATGAAGGAGGCAGGACCAAGCCATGCTGCTTCTAAAATTCAGAATTCAGGAAAACAAAGTGACATGTGTACAGAGTGCAGTTCTCTGTACCTAGGCTGTAGTCTAAATTAAAATGGTCCAAACAGTACAGTTTTTCTGGTTTTATGAGGAGAAAAACTGAATGCATTTTGCATTTCTTTTTTTTTTTAAAGGAACAAGTAACCAGAATTAAGCAAATGGTACCCTGAGCCAGATATAGGGTCTCTAAAAGCCCCAAGACCTAAACTCTTACCTTTCACTTCCCTTTATAATCTCTTGAACCAAAATGTTTACTAAATTGAAAATAGTATTTCTTTATGTATGTCATAATATTTCCTCCAGAATAAGTCTATCATAATTAAAGATGTGGTATTTTTTAACATCCCTAACAATATAAACAAACTTTCAACATAATCATTTGCAAAGGTCTTGTCAAAATGAAGACAGGAAAACGAGAGAAAGAGGCTGGGACGGAGGATCATTTGATGCCAGGAGTCTGAGGCTGTAGGGAGCTATGACACCATGGCACTCTGGCCTGGGTGATAGAGCAAGACTCTGTCTCCAAAATAAATAAACTAAAAGTCAGCATTTTTAAACAAAGTTATTTTTAAAATGCTAGGTCCAAGGTTGGGAGTGGTGGCTCATGCCTGTGATCCTGGGATATAACTTTTAGAGATGGAGGGTGGGCTGTTTTAGCTCAAAAATTTGAGATCAGCCTGAGCAAAAGCAAGACCTCATCTCTATAAACAGCCAGTGTTGCAGCAGGGGCCAGGAGTCCCAGCTACTAGGGAGGCTGAGGCAGGAGGATCACTTGAGCCCAATAGTTTGAAGTTGCTGTGAGCTATGATGCCACAGCACTCTACTCAGGGAGACAAAGTGATTCTCTCTCTCTCTCTCTCTCTCACATACACACACACAGCTCTAGGTCTAAAACATAGAATGCTGGTTCCCTCTTTTCCTTTTCCCAGTGCTCATTATTTGAGGCAGACAAGGCCCTGAGATAAACACCACATGGCATCCTCTGACCCTGACTTTCTTTGGAAACATCTCCATTCATTATGCTAAGTCCTTTTTGTATAAGGCAGTCAGTTACTCAGACATCACAGGTCTAGACTGCTGATGCACCATAAAGATTTAAAGCTAACAGAGAAGTAATGATGTCAGCACTGATAGGAACAGCTGTCCCACTGTGACCACCACGGCTACCCATAAACTATGCTGGAGTCCTGTTCTAACCTCATCTCGGCTCCCTCCCTTTCCACACAGCCCCAGCACTGGCTTCTGCTGCTTGTTGCACTCCCAACCCGGGACCTCTGCACCTGCTGGCCTCCCTCAAGGCACACCTTTCATGGACCTGCCCTCATACCACTCCAGTCTCTGCTTAGTCATCTCCTCCTGAGAGCCTCTCCACAATCACAGACCTTTGTCTCTCTCTAGCCCTTCACCCTGTTTTAATGCTCTTACTGCCCAATGTATTACATCAAGGGGTAGTAAATGTTTTCTATCGGGGGTCAAACAGTAAATATTTAGACTCTGCAGACTACATAATCACTGTGGCAACTACTCAACTCTGTAGCCTTAGTGCAAAAGCCACCACAGACTGTCAGTAAATGAATGGATGTTCCTGTGTTTTAATAAAACTTTATTTATAAAAGCAGGTAGTGGGCTGGGCTTGGCCCATAGGCTGCAGTTTCCTGACCCTGTGCTATGTGTATGTCTATTTTTGAGGCAGCTGCCCACCTCTTCTCCAAGAACATAGGCAGGCTCCCTCAGGATTCTGTTGTCTACTGCAAGACCCTTAAGTGCCTGGGTGAGTTGAGGCAGCTGCATGAATAAGGTCGTTTGACAAGGTACTTTCACTATATTTATGATCATCTGGTAATAAAGGTTTGAACTTGAAATTCAAAGAGGACAGGTGACTTACTGAAGGTCACACAATTAAGTCTCCTAAATTTTAGTTGGGGTAGAGGGGACATATAAGTTGAACTCAAAATGTAAGAGAACAGTGCTTGTTTACTAGTTTGATGCTGGATCTTTTTATTTATTTATTTATTTTGAGACAGGAGCCTCAAGCTGTCCCCCTGGGTAGAGTACCGTGGTATCACAGCTCACAGCAACCTCCAACTCCTCCTGGGCTCAAATGAGTCTCCTGCCTCAGCCTCCCAAGTAGCTGGGACCACAGGTGCCCGCCACAACGCCCAGCTATTTTTTGGTTGCAGCCATCATTGTTGTTTGGCAGGCCCAGGCTGGATTCGAACCTGCCACCTTGGGTGTATGCAGCTGGCGCCTTAGCCACTTGAGCCATAGGCGCCAAGCCTTGATGCTGGATCTTAATAGTAGAGAAAGACAGCAAAGAGACGCTGTGGAGAGGCCCAAGAACAGAACAGAAAATCAACCACAAGGGGCTTAGTAATACTGCCCTAAATTTCACTGTCCTGCATGAAAGCTGAACACAGATGTCCTCAGACTCAGGGTTCAGGGTCTGTGCTGGGGTAGAACTATGTGGTCTCAGCACCGCACACCCTCCTACCTTCTTCAAGGAGAGGTCATGGTCCACGTCACTCCCTGAGTCCTCCTCAGGCTCTTGCTGACCCTGCAGGTCCTTCATCTTGATCAGTAACTCTGCCTTGGGGGCTGACGTGCTGTAGTAGGCAGAATTGGTGGCCAGGGAAACGGCTGCAGGTACACGTGGCTCATCTTTCCTGGGTAAAGACAGTGGCACTTCAGTTAGCTGCAACCACTCCTGCAGACCAACCCTCAGCCTTGCTCCCTGGGTGTCGACAAGTCACAGTAGGTACTAACAGAAGGACACCAGTCGGAGGAAAACAAGAGAGCGGGTACTCAGGTTAAAACTCGGGTTGGGGGAAGCCTCCCCAAATGGATGCTCATTAAGTCTATGGTATATAGTTTTTGCAAGAAACTTAACAGGAAATGTCTAAAAATTCCCACTGGGAGTCTGGGGTGATGGGGACACAGGTGTGACCCTGTCTATAAACTCGGCCGCCTTGTGCCTTTCTACCAGCAGCCCGTGAGCTCCTCTTGCCTGGGTCCTATCTGTCCCATTTCTCCTTCCCCACTACAACTCTGAGCCCCCCACCCTACTGCCCTGGAAGAACGTTTGTGCAACAGAGCACGTACAAACAGCACGAAAGATATCACTACACACGCCTCTGGGTCACACGACTGAAGGCGGGGCTGCTCGCAAAAATAAATAAGGCCAATTCTTTTGTGCAGATGTAAATAAACTATATACCAATTTTCAAGAAACTGACCCACGAAGGAACACGCATCCTCAACCCAAGGCTTCGCTCCTCAGGTGCAGGGATTTCATGTTGGGCTATGGACACTAGACATTGGGTGACCCTGTGGTGGGGCTGTTCCCTGCACTGTAGGTGTGGAGCAGCCTCCCTGGGCCTCACCCATCAATCAGGTGCCAGGAGCACCGTCCCCAAGGGTGACACTGCTAACTGTTCCCTGGGGCAGTCAACACCCCTGCAAAGAACCAAGCAGACCTGTGGGCATGGTCAGAAATCACACTGGCCTCTGGCCAAGAAAGCTCTGTGGACTGCAGCATGCATTTCTGTGCCTTTGTTGCCCCCCCCCCCATCCTCCCCAGGGATGGAGCTCTCAGCCTTTACCTTCAGTTTCTCTTTCAAGAGGCTCAAAAAACAAACAAACAAAGTCAATCAGTGCCAAAGCACCAGGGATCCCTTATGAAAATCTGCTCCCAAAGGAATCATGAAAATGAACAGAGACGTGCGCCTGGCCCCTGCAAAGGCAGAGTCACACACAGGCGGGAAGGCGCCCGACTCACCGCTCCTCTGTGGTTCCAGGGGAAGGGACTTTGGGGAGCAGCTTCCTGCGCTGCTGAGCTTCTTCCAGGAGGTGCTCGTCTTTGGGGAATATGCCTTCCATCAAGTCCATGGCGGTCTTTATTTTCACACTGGGATCCAGGATGTCGGCCAGGGACTTATCCTTCCCCACGATCTCCCGGGCCAGCTCCTCCGACTTGAGGTCTTCCACGGTCTTCTCTTTGGCCTTGACGTAGCCGAGCCCCGGAGGGGAGGCGCAGCCATCTTTCTCCAGGGGCGCCTGGGCGCTGGGGGGCTCCGGGTCGGCGCCCTGCCGTGTGTACACGCAGAAGCGGGAGTAGCACTGCTCGGACGTGCTCAGCGTCTTGATCTGGTCTTTCTGCAGCCCACTGGGCAGGGCGGGCAGCTCAGCGGGGCACGCCAGGCTCTGGCGGCTCTCTCTCTCCGGCTGGGTCTCGGAATGCACGATCCTGATGGGCACCATCTTCACTGTGGTGTTACTGTCCATCACCCGCTCGATTCTGGAGGAAAGAGAAGAGCCACGTGCCACATCACAAAGCGCGTCCAGGGACAGACTCCGACTGACCAGACTCAGAGACTGACCAGACTCGGATCGGCAGGTTGCCGCCCTCCCCGTAGGGATGGGAGACTCTTATCAGTTCCCAGGCAGAAGCGCCCACACAGACGCACATCCTGGATGTGGTACAGGGGACTGAGAGCTTCCTTCTGCCCCTAACTTGGCCTCTGGACCTCAGCATCTGACTCCTTCCATTCCCAACCCGTCAGCCACACACCTAGGGTCTCCCTGGGCTCACAAAGGGACACGAGGATTGTTTAATGTTCATTTGTGGTTTTTCCAATTATATTGCAAACAAAACCAGCCCCACTCAGTTAAATTTTCTTTTGTGGGTGACTCTGCAGAGAATGGGCATTCTTTACAGCACTACTGTTACTAATTTAGTCGGGGGGGTCCCCACGTGTTCTCAGGGCCAGAACAGAAATCCTCCTGGCCCAGCCCTGCTGAAGTCCATGCTGTGTGCCCTCAGCCCACCCCAGGAGCCACCTTTGTGCAGACCATGATGCTAGTGAGATGAGGACCTGGTGTTAGACAGGAAGCTGGTGGCTTCCGTGTTACCCTAAGTCCCCCCCAAAGGGCACACATTTCCTTTTATGTACAGTTTCTGGGTGAAAGGAGCTGGGAGGCACCTATAGCACCCGGGGAGGGGAGGATGGGAAAGAGGCAGCTAGCTAGCCCAGCTGCTGTACCACCAAGGACATTTTGGAGAAAGAAAAAAAAGAAAACTAGCCAAACTCCCAGGACCCAAACTCACGATGTTCCTAATTCAATGAACTACAGATCACTTCTACAGAGATATACCCGCAGACCCGATTTTTCGGAACACAAAAGAAGCTGCCATGTTTTAAGTTAAATGCTGTTGTGCTCCCTTTAACTGGTGACTGGGAACACAAGAGGATTCCTTCTCTACTTATAAGGGTATGGTGCACATGCTATAATGAAATACTTTGTATTTTCCTCCTTCCCCGCCATAGAAACCATGACGAACTGGTATGTTTTATGCAGGTGCTCAAACATGGTTGTCACAACCACTTCTTCATGAGGAAATTGTTAAAAGCCTGACTGTGGAAAATGCCACTTAAATATGTTGAATTTAAGAAGGAAACCTCTGCTGCCTTATCCAAGGAACAATACCAAAAAAACGCTTTGATTCGCTTCACTCCACACCTAGAAAGTCTGATCACCTATTGCGGACATTCAAGTCACCCCTTCACAGAAGACATGAGTGTGTCACGAGCACAATAAAATCACTTTGTGGTCCCAAATGATAGATGACCTGCCACATGGGAACACTTAATGATGCCAATGGCCAAAGATCCCTCATTAGCTTCAGGAAGCACTTCACCACTTGCTGGAATCGCTCATAAAAGAACTCATAAAAGACAAGTGAGAAAACTAAGACACTGACTGCAAAGAAAAAACATGAGAACTACTACCCACCTCCTACAGCCCTCACACAGGCCTGGTCTCTCACTGGACCCTCCATCTCCCTATTAATTCCTGTCACCACACCCAGAGGGGCCGACCTGCTGGTGAAACTGTCACAGGCTTTGCCCAACACAGAGACCACTTTGTTGCTTTTCCTTTTGCTATGAGCTAAATGTTTATGTCCCTTTAAGAATAATACACTGAAACCTACCCCACTAAGATGATGGTGTGATGGGGGGGCCTTTGGGAGGTGATGAGGTCCTGAGGGTGGAGCCTCATGGATGGGTTCAGCGTCCTTATAAAATGGACCCCCGAGAGCTCCCTCGCCCCTTCTACCATGTGAGGACACAGTGAGAAGGTGCCATCTCTGAACCAGGAGTGAGTCCTTGCCTACCACAGACTGCCAGCCATGCTGGGATCTTGGACTCCCAGACTCCAGAACTGTGAGAAATACCTTTCTGCTGTTTATGAGTTGCCCAGCTATGGGATTTTGTTTCAACAGCTCGGACAGAATAAGACAACTATCTTTCGGAATCTAACGATGTTACCAATTATAAGTCTATCTGAATAATATTTTATCTACATTTTAAGTAATACAAAGCAGTTCTGAACCACAGATAAATCTGTGCTTGAGTGTTGAACATAGTTTAAGATACAGTATCAGTAATGCCCTTTCTCTGCTGAGTTATTTTGAAGCTTACAAAAAAAAAA